TCTTTTCTCCACAAAAAATTCTTTTCCCTTTGGGGGGCCCAATTGTTCTCCCTCATTGGGAAAATTGAAACTTAAAACCCGGAAAAATTATGCCTGGGGGGACCTGGACGCGATCCCATGTTCCCATTACCCGGAAATTAAGTATAATAGTTCATCTATTTTAAACTTTTTCACATTCAGCAAATTCGAAAAAAGTTCGGAACCCGAAGAAAAAGAAGAAAAAAAAAGGGACAAAAGGGACGGGCCCTTTATAAAAAGTCATGGAGGGGAGCCAACAGCTCAAGTTTTTTTTTTTTTTTTTCCCCAGGGGGGAAAAATCCCGTACAGTACAAAAAGGGGGCCCATTCCCAGTCGGGTATCTCGCCCAGAGCCCCGGGGGGGGGGGGGGTAAGGGGTGTGAGGAGCAGGTAGGTAAATAGATAAAGAGACAATCGACCAAAAAAACGACAAGCTCCTCCACCACCACCACCACCACCACCACCCACCCCCAAAGAAATAATCGGAACATGTTCTATCAGCACGAGGACAGATGATACCCCGCGAGAGAAACTATATCTGGAAGCCGGTCGCGGATAGTACGGTACTATACCGCACAATCAATGTGCACCCCTGGAACGCTACATCATTTTTCATGCTGCTGAGAGCACATTGTAGTCTGTCTGACATTCACGAAGGTCGGGCGTCGCACACACCAGTGCAGTAACAACGGCACACTGAGTGTATATGTGTGCGAGGGTGCGCGTGAGGGCATTCGCATTTATCCGGAAAATCACTCCAACCGCGAGAGAGCCACGTTGATTCTCCACCGGTGTTCGCTTGATGCGGGCGGCGTGAACGACGCACTTATGGATACTGTACTGCTCCAAGGTGGAAACGGAGATATGGGTACCGGCAGATGTGGCACAGTAGCTGGCAGGATGCTTATGCCAAGGCCTCGCTGATAGTTCCTCCTGTAGAACGTCAAGACGGTCGACTGCCGGTTCACCGTTTCGGAGTTAGGGGCGAGTGATGCCTTGTGAGCATTATACTTGTTCCATTTATGATATCGCCGCATGCACAGGGCCCGGTTGCGCCGGTGCATGGAGACTGAGGTCATGTTTTTCGAGTTTCGCGAGAGAGACCCTCGTGTCATGCCTAATTTCACGTCCCTCTGTTGGCAGACTAGGTAAGAGGGTGGTCCTGTATCTGTTCCTGCGAGTGATCTCACTTAGGGTCTGTTTTATTGCGATGGTTCCGTTCCGTTCTACGACTGTTTCCCATATAAAAACAGTCGTCCTTTCGTTTCGAAACGGTCACTTTGATTAGGACAACGGAACGAAACCATCACAACCAAACAAGCCCATACTGGGTGTCCTCGGCTTCAATCGGATAACATCCCAAATTCCGCGCAAGAGTATTATCTCACCAATTAGCCTTATATGATACTAGATGTAAACCTAAGACCCATTCCTCAGACCGTTCAAACGCCGCGCCAACAAAGAACAATATTTACACGCATGCCCAACGGTACAATATATACAGCATTATACAATCTTCCCCCGCACCCCATTCTCATCCCCGCCCCACAAAACTCCTTCCAGCCCTCCCCCTCCCAGCTCTCAACCGCATAACCCCCCACATTTGCCGAACCCTAGCACCCCTCTTCAACCTCTCAACAACTCTTTTCGGAATCCCCGTGCTAAAGACCTCCTTCTTCATATTCCTCTCCCACTCCCTTCCCCCCTCTCCGCCCCTCTCCCAGCCGGCCCTCCGCCACAAGCTGCCTCCCCACGTCCTCTCCGTAATGTCAACCATCTCTGCCAGGCTGAGGTGATTCAGCGCTACCGCCATGCGATTGACCCTCCTCCCAGACAGCACGACAGGCCGCCCATTGGCTTCCGGCGCGTTGTAGAGAATGTTGAGTCTCGTGCGCACAGCGCGGAGGACAGAGCGGGTGTCCACGTGTACACCCAAAGCCTTCAAATCCCGCGCAAAGGCTATGCCCCAAGTGAAAGTTGCGACGCAAGGAGCGAACTCGGAGAGTTTTCGGGGTAATTGGCGGACTTCTGGGGGTGGGGGTGGTGGGATTGATTTGTGGAGGTTTGGGGAGTGGGGTCGGAAGGTAAGGAAACCCCATTGGATGATTGCATGGATGAACTGCGGTGGGAAGAGCAGACGGAGGGGACTTGGGGGACTTAGGGGTAGGATTTCTGGCGCTGATTGGGGATCAGGATGTGATGTCAGGGCTTCTGGGAGGTTGAAGTTCGAGGTTGAAAAGCGACGGCGGGTTATTGTTGAGCGGGCCGGATGGTACCATTCTACAAGGCCTAAGGCTAGAGTTTCTAAATCCGATAGTCGCCGCTTCATGCCGAGTCTTTTGAAGATCTCACGCCAGAGGGTTGGCTCGATATTTGTTGAGCCAGAGCGGAGTAGTGAAGTTAGGATTCCAATTAGGCCTATAAGATTGTCGTTTGTGAAGCCTGGCATCGTGTTGGGATTTTTAGCACGCTTGCGAGGCGGCAGAACTGCTTTGACGAGGAGCCTGAGAGACGCTGAGGAGATGCTGATCGAGGATTTGCGCATATGGTCCAATAGATTTATTGCGTCCCCCAGTGTTCCCCTCCTCAATTGCGACTGGAGTATTAAATCATATACCTTCGCCGTAGGCCCACTCGGAGAGGGTAGAGACAACGCTTGGTCAAACATCTCCCAATTGCGAGTGTCCAGAGCCTCTTTGAGCAAAAACTCCAGTTCTTCCATGCCCGAAAGTCCCCTCGCACCGATCTGCCGTACCAATCTATCCACCAGCACCGAAGGCTCCGCATCAGGCACCATCTCCACACCTTGGACATTCATTCCAAACTCCACCAAAAGAGACAGTGCTTTCTCCTTGCTACAGTCCACCCGCTTCTTCAAAGCCTCCACAGTCCTCCGCCCAACATTCAATCCTTCGCCAAACGTCTGCATGCATTGAAAAAGAACAGGAGTCCCCAACTGGATCTGTCCCAATACCACCGCCCAGAACCGATCCCCCATGGCGCTCCTGTCAACACGATTTGCCCGTGCTAGAATGAACCCAAGAGCCTCGAATTTCTTTGGCCGGGATATAATCAAGGCTATTAGAGAACTCTCCTTAACCCGCACACCCATCTGTATAAACGAGAGCATCAACATAGACATATCTTGCAACGACCCGTACTTCGTTGTCCACTCAATGAGCCTATCTGCGGTGGCGGTATTCCCAGGGAGATCATCGAAAGAAATGCAATGCCGATGCCACTTCATCGCCTCAGTGAACAAGCCCATAGAGCATAACAGCGGGATAATAGATCCATACAGTCCTGCTGGCCGCTCAATAACTGCATGGATCTCCCTCAACTCAATATGCCCCCCAACTCTCTGCTTCAGCACACTCCTCACAAAACCCGGCCAAGAGGACGGCGCATGGCGTGGGTACAATCTCCTATGCCATATCCGCGCCCTGGAGCCATCAGCAACGAGAAAGTGGCCTATAATAAACTGGTATGCTCCCGCCCATCGCCGGTTGCGTGAGTCAAGATTCTTAATGTACTCCCATATCTCTTCCAGGAAGTCCTCATCCTGGAAGCCAGTTTTGAGAAATATCTGCCATATGAGCGTCGCGTGCGAGCCCCGGACTGGCAAGTCTATATTCCGGATCCGCAACCCCTTCCACACATCCTTGACACCAGTGTCCGAGTACACCCTCCTCTTAAACCCCAGTAGGCTCCACCAGAGATGGAAATTGCCCCGCAATCGGGGCTCGTCCACGAGTTTCGTTCCCAGACTACTCGCGTCCGCCACGTCAGCCTGCTCCTTCAATAGGTCAAATGTCGATGTCCGCTCGTGTATCAGCACTTGCAACTTCTGCGGTATCGCCGTTCCCCGCAATGGTGTGGAAAAGGAGGAGGAGGAGGTCCCAAGATGATGATGGCATGGTGTGCAGATGCAAATCATTGAAGAAAAAGACAGCTGCGGCCGGGAAATTGGTAGCAGTCTTAGAACAGGGTTACGCATAAACCGGTGATGGGGTGTGCATGCGTCTTTACGTCCTGTGAGAGGGAGAAAAACATCGACGGGCTTTGGTGAGGTCCATTCGCAACGTAAGTAGGGCAGACAGCCAACAGCCGGGAGGGGAAGAGAAGGGAATTAACCAGGTGCAGGAAAGGAGCAGGCGGGAAGGTTTCTCTCTTTCTCCCCTTTTCTATGATTCACTCAATGAATCCCCTTCTTGAGGACGTTAGTTTTGTGTGCGAGTGGTGGCGGGGTGTGTTCTCTTTCTTAAAATTGTTTTACATTAGTGGGGTGCTTGGCGGTTATCGGTCTCCTTATTTAGTAAGCAGGGTTAAAGTTAGACAATAAATTTTGAGCCTCTAAGTCACTGTAGCTTATCAAGAAAGTTTCAACGTCTATCCTCAACCTACACATTATCCTACAAATACATACCTCCCTTCAATTACAGGCGAAACATGTTCAGCGCCTTCCGGCCAACACAATCTCGCCTCGGCGGTCTCCTCTGGTACTTCCTTCTCCCCTCTCCCCCACAAGTATTATGCTAACCCCACCAAGGAAATCACCCTGGCGCCTCTCCTCCGGCCAAAAATACCGCCATCGACAGCGCCTCCGCCGCGTAGACAGAACAGTAGACGTGGTGTACAAGGCGTTAGCAAAGCGGGGCATGACAGCGGCAGCTGTGGAGCGCTGGAAGAGCGAGATGCCGACGGAGGCGGAGATGAAGCCTCGGGATAAGTACACCATGTTTGATCCTAAGCAGAGGAGTTATAGGAAGGGAGTTCATAGTGAGTACTGCCACCCTCGGAAGGGAGGGAAGATGGGAGGTAGGCTAATGATGGCGGGGGGATTAGAATTGCCAAAGTGGACGAGGATGAGCCAGAGGGTTAATCCCCCCGGGTTTTAGACGGGGCTTTCGGGAGAGGATAGCAGTGACGGGGGGAAGGGGGGGGAGAGGGGCATGCGCGTGTGCCGGCATTCGACAATATGCGTGACTTCACTCTCACTCTCACATCTGTCCTAAAGAAAAGAAAGCGGCGACGACCCAGTCCAGTCCATTCCACTCTCGCCCCTCTCTACTTGTGATACGCTTCTTATTTTTTACCTCGAATCCCAACGTCCTACCCCAAACCCCACAAAATCGCGATACCAACTCCTGCCACGAAGTGGCTGCGCTACACATGCGGAGTTCCCCCCTCCCCCCCGGTTAGTTAACTTACCTGCAAAGCGTATTCTATTCTCTCCCGACTACTCCACTATACGAAGCACTTGCACCAGCACTTCATCAGGATAATACCCCCACCCCCACTCCCACTCCCACCCCCCACCCCACCCCTTTTCCTTCATTCCTTATGCGGCGATCTATGTCATGTCGAGTTTGTAGAGCAGATATTGCCTGTTTCGATAGATGAATAGATGAGTTTGTACGACACCACACTTGTGAGAAGTAGCTTTAAATGGAATACGTACATACAGACAGATACGGCTGACGCGAATGAATAAATGGATGAATGTTGGTGACCCCAGTCTACGGTAGCCCGCGCAAAGAGAATAGGGCAGAATGTGGTTAGGGTGGTGGTACTGTAGGAGATAAGAGGAACAAAGGGGAATGCTGGCTAATAATATACTATACAAGTAGCAATAACCTTGCAGGCGCTTTCTTGTTTCCCTTCCGATAAGGCAGATATAGTCCACCCGCCAAAATCAAGAGCCCGTCCCCAAGGTATAGCCGTCAGTGGCAACAAGACAATTACTCCCCTCCGGTAGCCTCGACGATATGAGAATTATGTTGCTGTCGCTCACGAATCAAATATCCCCAGAAACCAGTAGCTCTATCTAGTAGAGCTGGGAGGTTGTGAAAAGAAAGTGCAATTCTTTCAAGCAAGATGTGGTGGAGCAGCAGTTTGCTCAAGGTAAAGGTTGAAGACTTTTTAATTTTGGCGAGCAGCAAGTGTGATAAAGCAGCTGAAGTAGAATAGTATCATATGTGACCCGAAAAAGAGAAGAAAAGGAAAAGAAATTTATCACGGCCAGCTCTGCAATGGATTAAAAAATATAAAACGCCAGCATAATAGGGGGGTGAAATCATAATAGTGTCGTAAAGTCGTAACATCATGAACGTCATGATAGTGAAAAAAAGGGGCAAACTTCAGAACGAACTCGCAGTATCATATAATAGGAAACAAAGGCAGAAGAAAAAAAATCACTTGATCAGATAGATGATAGATAGGCTAAGAATTCTTAGAGTATACGGTACGTGAAAATTGCCAAATTATTCAATTCCATCCATCCAAGTAATAGAATCTTATGAGATGGGCATCAATCACGGCTCATCTGGACAAGGATTTTTCTTTTCTTGTTGTTGTGAGTCTGTGAAGCTCTTGCTATCCATCCGTCTACTTCTTCCTCGACTCGAAATGTCCCAAGAAAAACAGAAGATATTGTAACAAGCAAACTCGAAAAGGTTGAATAACGTCACCCCGAGAACTGAAGTTTTGGCATCCCCCACTTGAGGGATATACCGTGAAGAGCGTCTGCCCAAAAAAGTTCCCGAGAATAAAACCGAAAGAAAAACCCCCCGAAAAAAAACCAAAAACACCCCCAATTAACAGACATAGGAAAAGGAAAAGGATTAGGGGAAAGGGGGAAAGGAAAGAAAAGTTGAAGCCTGAAGTTTTGAAGCCCGCTTCCATATCCAAAAACCAGGAGCTTTTACGCCGAGGCTGGATATCGAGGCGTTCAAGTCAACCAAATAAAATAACACAAAGAAAACAATAACAAATAACAAAATATTGCCGCCAACATATTGTAGTAATAAAAGGTACCGTAAAGAAAAGAACCAAAGCCCAAATGATAAGAATGTAGTATGGTGAATGATAAACACGAAAGCAAAAAGGCAGAAAAGGAAAAGGTACCTTGCCGTGCTTGTGAATAAAAGTGTGGTAGCCACAACTGACAGATGAGTCAAAACCAACATGCCCGATAACCTCCTGAGGGCGAAGAAGCGGAACAGACAAAAAAAAAAACTAAGGTGCATAAGAGTCATCTCATATAAACATAGGAACTAAAACCCCGTCCCTAGCTATGAGACAAAAGCATAAAGAAATCTCCTCGCCCAAATCACCATTCATCATTGTCCATTGCTGTCATCGTTGCCAGGGCTTCTTTGCTCGTCGAGGTCCGGCAACAGTGCTTTACGCTACAGTTACTGAAAGACAAAGCAAGGCCATCTTCCGTTAAGGCAGCCAACAATAGTTCCCATCTAGCCATAGACAGATCGTAATTAACTCAAACACCGGCCATCTCCCTGCGAGGATAACCGTTGGACCGGTGGTGATATTCGGCACTTGTCCGTCGATCGCTATGATCAAGTTGGCCGGCCGCATACTGCAACTGGGCATGCACTTGCTGCTGTCTCTGCCGAACACATCCGTATGCTATAGGATCCTCAATATTCACATTCTTGCTCTTACGGCCAAAAGAAAGGATCCGTTGGAAAGTCCCACCATTTAATTGTAGTTTCACCGGGATACCCGCAGGATACCTCATTGTGAATGATTCGTCGGAATCTGGTACGGTAAGTTGCACCAGCTCTTCTCTCCCCTCATGGCCACTGCTACTGCCAGAGTCACTACTTCCATTGCTGCGACTGCTTTGCATCATAGTCCCTGGTTCACGGCGGGCTACTGCGTGGTGAGAGTCGTAGTGATGGCCGCTGCTGCTGTGGCGGTGATGAGATGATCGTGGTGTATGATCATCAATAGTGCAGGCCTCCATCGACCTCGAAAGCGCAGAAGGCCCCAGCCTAGCAGAATGAGAACCCGAGGTCCCTTGCGAGTTGTTGCTTTCTCTTCTGCGCATTGGCTGCGGGGTAGTGCCCCTGCGTCGAGAACTCTCAGCAGGGGCACCAGTGTTTGTTGGGGGAACGGAGTAACTCCGTTCGGGTGCTTCCTGGTATTGCAGTTGGCTTTGGCCATACCAAGATGAGGATCTCTCGCTACCGTGAGCGCGGCTACTCATTCGCCTTTGTGGGCGATGGGGTGTCGAGTGAGTATAATCAGGGGACGAGTCGATGGAAGCACCAGCATTTGCCTGCGCTCTCATGCTACTCCGACGATTCGCAATCGGAGGGGGAGGGGGCATCACACTATACTCTGATGATCTATATCCATCTCGATAATCCGATGGAGGAAGAGATGAGCTGGGCGTCGATGGGGCTGTACTCTGGCCGTAATAATCATTGGCTGTGTAGTCGGTTACGGGAGGATATCCATAATTCGGTACCGGTGGGGGAGCATAGGGCGAGTTTGAGTATGACGACGACTGTGGTGGAGGTGGAGCGATAGAGGTATCCAGTGGTGGAGGTGGATACATTGATGATCCATATACAGGTGGGCAGGTGGTCGACGGAGCCGGTGGAACCGGAGATGTGGAGGGATGGGCATCGAAGTAGCTTGCGGAAGAGTAGCTGCTAGTATGGGACCACGGAATGCTGCCAGAACTATGAGTTGAAGTTGTTGTCGTCGAACCCGCGAATGTCGACTGTGGTCGCGGTGGTGGGGGCATGGACGACCTGCTCTTTCGACTCCCACCTGCTCCCGCGCTGGAATCAGAAATTCCACTATCCGTGGGTGTACTATATCCATCATAGTGCTGGGGATAATGGTATCCTGAATAGCTTGGTGACTGTCCGTACGGCAACGAGTGATGATAAGTGGGTGATTGTTGGTGGACGGGCCACGCACTGCTGGTTGCACTGGATGAACTAGAGATTGTTGGTGATGATTTCGAAAGAGTTTTTCCGCAATCTGGACAATCACAATCCGAAGATCCTCCACCCAGCGAACTCTCCCTTCCTGCCCCATAACTGCTCGAATACCCATAGCTGCCAGAGTTAGCGTTGGGGATATTCCGAGCTGCAGATGAAGCAGGACGAGAGAAGGATTTGCTTGAAGGCCGGTTGAACGGTATTGGGCCCGACGATGATCGGCTAGGCTGATGTGTTCGTACTGGTGCTGGTGTTGGGGCCTTTGGTGGTGGCGGTGGTGTCTCTGTGATGGGTGTGCTCGCTACCGAGTGAGACGAATATCCGGAATCAGAAACCCCCTCATAACTCGGCTCTGGCACTTCTTCTACAGTTGATGATTGATTTAAACCAGAGGGTCTTTTTGTTGTTTGGCGTCTCACGGGAACAACGGGAATTGCTTCTGAGAGTTCGGAATTATAATCCTCAACATAAGGCTGGTAGTTGTTCGCCATTATGGTTGCGTTGTGATTATTTGGAGGGTCGAGCTGAGGGGCGGAGACGGTGTCGTACTTATTATTACACTAACTATGTTGGTAGTTATGGGTGATAGCGATAACGATATTCTGGTATCGTCAACGATATCGATTAGAGATGCGGGCGAGCGACAGCGGACGACGAGCTTATATGATACAAACACAGGTCTGCGGCAGCAAACGAGAAGTGTGGGCTGTCGGATAGGGATAAGGGAGCGTGTTGGTGCCGACCGTTATTGGCGGTTTGGGAGGGTGGGAGGTGGTGGGAGGTTGTGGGAGGTAAGGTAGCGGATGCGCTGTCCAGAATCCAAGCTGCTTGCTAGTTTTCTGATGTGGTGATGATGGATGGTCGGGTGTGAAGATGTGTGGGTGGATGAATGGACGGATGGGGTGTGGCTTTCTTTTAAGAAGAATACGAAAATGGGTCTTCTGGAAGAGAAAGTGGACCCACGAAAGGATTCACAGAGGGTCCCTCAATTGATTGATGAGAAGGGTATGACAGGGGTGAAGGAGCGGGGAATTGGGGAAAGCCAGGAGACGGAGCGTGTCTTGAGAGAGTGGGTAGTGGGTAAGGGGGAGGGAAGAGGGTAAGTTAGGGATGGGTGATGGGTGAGGGGAGAAGAGAGAGGGAGAGAGAGGGAAAGGGAGGGGAGAGGGAGGGTTGGGCCGATGAATGACGGGTGATAAGTGACGACGACGGATTACGAACGGACCAAACTAAGACAGCAGGAAGAGAGGATCAAAGAAGGATCTCTTTTTTTGTGGGGAACGTGCGGGCCTTTGGTTATAAATAAAATGGCGAGAAGGTGGAGTGAAGGGTGGGAAGGTGGGTTGAAAATCTCCGGCACAAAATGCACAGGCAATAAGGAAGAAAAAGGGCAAGAAAGAGATAAAAATTCTGAAAGGACACAGATTCGAGGTTTATTGATTGTGTGTATGTTCTGTAATGTGCGGGCAGAAGGTACTCGTAGACTAATTCTGCTGTGGATTGGTGTGGTTCGCGGGCGTAGTTGGGGTGGTGGTGGAGGCAAGCAAAATTAGGTGAAAAAAAAAGACAATTGAAAAAGCAGCAGCAGAAAGCGCAGCAACAGCCAAAAAAAAACTCACCACAGGCAACGAGGGCGGAGTTGCTTGCTTGCTCGCCTGCTTTGCTCTCTACAGTGCTCGCTCTTGATTCTGGTGCGTTGTTTCGTTCACTCGTAGCCCAACCAGGAAACCCTTTGCAACACCCTAAAGGACCAATGGGGGTACGGCCTGAGCTGGTAAAAAGGGAAGTTTGATTCTAGCCCTTCTCTAGCGATGCTTGCCTTCGCGGGCTGGGGATGGGAAAGAAAATCTCCAAGATCGACCAGGGAATCGAAGGAGAAAATAAAATAGAAAAAACTGAGGCTTGAACCACAGACAGCCCGGTGACCCAACTGTGGATGGTGCGAGTGGGGTGTTGGACTAGTCTACTGGCAGTGTTCGGTGAACCCGTATCATAAGAGGGAAAGCCTGAGAGGATTCCAATGGGTGAAAGAAAGAGAGAAAAGAGCCCATTGCTGGCCGAAAGGGCGGTTTGAGGGGGATCTCTTCTCTCTCGGAAAGTGCCCTTTTTATTTATTTATTTTTGTTTTTTATCGATATCTTGTCCTCCCTTTCCCATCTACTCGTACAGAGCACAGATGGGGCGGGTGGATTGGGGGTTTAGACTACACTTCTTCTCTTGCCTCCATCAAAGGAAAAAGTGCAAAAAACCCACTATCTGGAAATGTTAACAGAGGAATTATTTTTATTTTACGATTATTTTTACCTTTACCACAAGAGTATGTATGTCCAGTATGTCTGTATGTAAGGTCCAGTTTTTTTTTTTCTTTCCTTCTCCTATTCCCTTTGCTATCTTCCTTTCTCATTCGAAGGCGAAGATATATTTTTTTGGATTCCTCTGAAGGGAAAGAGCTACTCGACGACGTGGCAAGCATCCGTTGGAATGCGTTGTCGGAGATAGTCTACCTGATCAACCCTCCTGTGGTTTCCGTGACAACGCCTATGCCTACCATTTCCTCTCGATATCTTCCCAGTCAGCAATAACAATGTCTTTCCCGCCACCATTTTAACCTTCAACAGCCTCTGTACCACCTCTCACTTTACTGTACTCTTTTTCCTCTGACTCTACTCAGTTTCTCCCGTACTCCCCTCTACCGTGCTACCGGCTCGTAGCTTCCAGTATGGAGGGGGGGGCCATAATAATATTATTATCGCTATTTTTCATTCAACACACGAAATATTGCCCAGAGCAGTCATGTGCCAATCATTGCGTCTTCAGGTCTTTCGCTTTTCCTTATGCATTGACGCAAGATACAAGGATTAAGCATGGAAATTTGCCCCCAGTAAATTACCCTTCCTTCCGCGAGTTCATCCGAAAGGAAAACGGAGGGGAGGAGAGGAAAGCAACCCCAAAAACCTTTTATTAGGCCGCTAGCAATTCGTCAATATAAACTAACGAAACCGCACTCCCAATTCTTTGCTCCACCTGGGGCTTATCACCGATACGATACGGGTCATCACCACTCTGTGATACGGTAACGTCTCTTCCTCCCCATCATATAAATACCGGTGCTGTATCATCACGGTAGGGCAGCGGAGATTTTAAGCTGGTAAACAAATGATACGTCTGCGGGAGCACCGTATTTTTCCCTTCGATCCTCAGCGTCCCTGGCGGGTTTTTGCAAGGCTCGGTGACCTCTGCGAGCTTAGTCACGAACATGAGCTTCAAACCTGTCACAAAAATCTCAAACATGCAAAAGTCGTGTTTGGCCCTTTCTCTTTTTCCCGGGCGTGCCCGAGTTTGGGATGGACGCGAGGAGGGGGGGATGGGCCAGCCATTGGTTTGGTTTCGAAAAACTACCTCTTCCGGCAAAATATTATCCCAGTCTCTTGGCAGCTTGTATGGGCAGTGGGTTAGACTTGGAGCCGCCGCTTTTACACTGTAACCCAGCGTAGAAAAGAGAGAACGACTGAGCGGGAACCACCCCACGCCGGCATCTATCTGCCGAGGTGAGCATGAAGGATTTGAGAATTGTTTGGGGGGCTGGGACCGGATGGTTTGATGTGCACGGTATGTATGGCATGCGAGATCGATCCGGTGATGTTTGGCGCTGGATATCAGAAGAGGAGCTATGTGAAACTTTTCTTGCACCGCGCAACGACTTACGGGTTAGACTCCCAGTTGAAGGACAGTATGTAACAGAACGAGAAATGTGTGGTGGAGGTAGCGGGCACGTCTTGGCAGGTACCCGACATTATCCCCCGCGCTGCTCGAGTGCCTCCCTCAAGCGCCAATGCTTTTATCAATACAAAGCCTGTCCGTGTCTCGTCTACCAGCGCGGTTTTCAAGAGGTAGGCGTAGCATTGGGCCGTGGTGGCCGACAGGCTGGACGAATCTAGATCTCGCATCCGAAGTCTGTTGCTATGTTTGGATACTTTCAGCTGTTTGTAGTAAGACCAGTAACGAGAGCCCTTTTCTCAGTCAGCCCTTACCTTGGGGGAGAGTGAGAGAGAAGGGGGGTCATGTTCTTGCATTCGGATTGAAGCGCCGGCGGGTTGACAGCCCTGATTGATTCACTGATGGGGTGATGAGATGTACCGGCAGTCCATCATACGATGATACATTGAGTGTGAAGATAAAGGCGTGCTAACCGAGGGTTTTCTAGAAACACGGAGGGCATGCGTACAGTACACCGGCGCATATCACGCGCCCAGGAAGAGGAAGTAGAAGGATGGATCTTGGTCGAGTTAAGAGCACAGATTGAAGCTTCACATTCAGGCCGAAACTTGCAGTGGGCGGATTCAGTCGCTCCTGAGCACATTACGAATACGATGGATTCATGAAATATCATACCGGTATGTCTTTTGGGGGGTCTGAGCCTGTGGAAAGTGCATGTACCGTACACTAGTACAGTATTCGATAGCTGTTGCCTGTCTGCCTACCTGCGCGCCTGCCCGCCTGTCTTTCCACTTGTACCTCCCTATGCGAGTATCATACCTGGGGAGATGTTTTCGCACAAGGCAGGGATTGTTTTGCGGGTTGATATGAACTGACAGTTCACGAACTTTCTTGAGGTTGCGCAGTAATTATCATACCGGCTTGCCTGCTTTGAAGGGGAGAGAGGTTTTTTTTGTGGGTGGGGGAAATAATGAAAAACCAACGCACCGGATCCCGGTTGCTACTGAAGTTGCATAATTGGCGGGAGCTCAATCTATCCCTCTCTTTTCAGGTCCTCACTCGAAGTACTTGTACGATACTAGATAATTTAATTAGGGACAAACGTTCCTCTTTCAACAGTACTATTCCTACCCACCTCTTCCTCCATCTACCGGCACTCGAGTAATCATTAGTCCATCCAACCACCCCGAGTCCCCGACACCCCGTTTTTGATAAGTATCTGAGAGGTCCAACTGGTCGGCACGAGTGATATACTGTATCTTTACAGTGGGCGCAAGCCCCCCTTCGGGTCGGCTAAGTATCTTCATGTCGGGATCGGACAGTCCATTCCCCCCATTCTGACTTGTGAATCAGATCGGATCGGTGAGCGGTAGGGTATGTATGATAGAGGGCAGAATAAGTAGACTATACCCTTCTTGGGTAAAATCGGATTTCACCATCAGCCCGCGCGATGTGGGTGTGTGGGTACAAGTACAGGTTTGTGATATCAAACATTAATGGCAACTTACGTTCCTTTCCACTTCTCCATTCGCTTCCCGGGTTTATGTTAATTCTCTTTGGTTTTCGAATTGGGTTTGGATTTGGACTTGGGTTTCTTGTGGATGCCGGGGTGTGATACGGGCATCACAACATCATCGTATGGTATACTAGGTTGGGGGGAGCATGTGATGTAGAGTTGGGGTCTATCGTGTTATACAGTTACATAGAAGTTTAGTGTTGGATATGTTTATGCGACACGGACGGCGGCGGCGGAGGCGGCGATGATGGGTTTTGGCCTGGCTTATCCTGGTAAATTATGACATGGATGATGGTTGGATGGTTGTTTGGCCTTGTTTTTTTTTTTGCTTGGTTGGCTGGTGTTTACCCGGGGGGATAGGTGTGTAAACAAACAAATGAAACGTGTGTGTGGACGTTGGGGATTTGTGCAAAAACGATGGGGGTTCGGTATCACGGTGCACAAAAGCTGACGGAACCCCCAAAACTCGTTTATGATAGAATTGGGCTGAGATTGGATAAGCGATTTTTTCTTTGGGGGAAAAACCTTAGGAAAATCGTGGGGGGGGGAGGTGGAATCATGAATTCTCATTTCTCAGGTTTGAAGCCTGGATCTGGTTGAATAAAGAAAGAAAAAGGAGGATAATACTGTAAAGAAAGGGCGAACAAACAGGCGAAAAAGGATGCTGCAGATTCACACAATAGGGCAGCCAATGGTTTTCCTTCACTTCCCCACAATCCCTCCTCCAGCGACAGACAAGACAGATTTCGTGCTGGACAAGAAATCGGCACGTATTTTTCTTTGCTTTTTCTCCTCTGTCCTTTTCCGCCGGCTTGTCCTTTTTCCTTTTCTTCATTTTTCTCCCCTTCTCCAGGTCGTTTCGTTCCTGCACTGTG